GGGGGCCGCCCCTGGGCATGCGGCTATTGGGGGGGGCCGCCCCCGGGCGCGCAAGTGTCCCCGCCCCCTGGCGCCCGGTGGGCGAACGGCCACGCCCCCTGGCGCCTGGTGGGCGAACGGCCACGCCCCCTGGCGCCCGACAACCTTGAAAGGTTGGGAACCACTGTCCTAGGGGCATGCTGTGTAGCATGGAGCCTGAAGTCAGCGGGGGACTGAGTTCCTCACTGACCCCGGTCTTCATGGCTTTGACATTTCACAATAAGCAGCACCTTATTTCAAAATAATGGGCTTGGTAGTGTGGATGCTCTGCTGGCGAACGGCCACGCCCCCTGGCGCCCGACAACCTTGAAAGGTTGGGAACCACTGTCCTAGGGGCATGCTGTGTAGCATGGAGCCTGAAGTCAGCGGGGGACTGAGTTCCTCACTGACCCCGGTCTTCATGGCTTTGACATTTCACAATAAGCAGCACCTTATTTCAAAATAATGGGCTTGGTAGTGTGGATGCTCTGCTTATAAATCCAACCTATGGGAGGCTATGTTGAAATAAAGCCTTGGTGTAGACCACGGCTGAGAGTACTGATACAGCAGCTGTCCTTTTAACTATATCTCTAATCAATTAAGAAAACTTTTCGGGTGCATATACATTGCACCGTTACTTCAAGATAACTAGCATTATTTTGAAATAAAAATGTGAACGTCTACACAGTCATTCTGTTATTTTGAAATAATTTCAAAATAACGGATGGCTTATACCAAAATCTGTAAACCTCATTCTATGAGGAATAATGCCTATTCTGAAATAGCTATTTCAAAATAGGGCATGTGTAGATGATCCAATGCTGGTATTTTGAAATAGCACCTCACGAGGGCTTTTCTAAGTTATTCCTCTCCAGTGCATTCTGGCGTTCTAAATCGAGATAGCACATCTACATTAGGGAAGCCTACCTCAGACTAATTTTGAGGCTTCCCTGCAATGTAGATGTGCTATTTCGACATAAGCTGTTTTGGAATAACTATTCCAGAATAGCTTATTTTGAAATAAGCGGGCAATGTAGACATACCCTTAGATAAAAGAGGTGTGTTATTAAATCTGTTATGTATCCAATCCATTTCAGGGTGGCTAGGAGAGAATCCAAAGGGTACAGCTTCTGCATCCTGCTCCTACAGTTTTAACGTCCATATAGTGGTTCTCAAACCTCATTTTAATGGCGTCACCATGGCTGGCATTAAACTTGTTCGGGCCTGGGGTTGAAGCTCAAGCCAAAGCCCCCAACCCAGGCCTGAACCCCAGGCCGAAGTGCTTCTTGCCTGGGGCTGAAGCCAAGCCTTTGTCTCTGTTATCCCCACCCCACCTATCTGGTTCTGAAAGTTGGGCTCAAGGATTGTGTCCTAATTTTTGTTGTCAGAAGAGAGTTGCGGTCCAATGAGGCTTGAGAACTACTCCAGCATAAAGCCTGTGTGGCGGACTGAAGTGGGACTCAAGTTACACATAGTCCTTAGACATTGCACAGGGTTGTATTTCACCCATATGCCAAAGGCTCTCTGAAGAGGGGGGCATTCTAGTATGGGACTTCTCATCAGTGATGTGCTTAACACGTGGATGCTATGTGTCCTGAATATACAACTAATGAGAGAAGGAATATATACTGGGGCAGTGTATGAATATGGGCCCATACGGGCATTTCTTCTGTAGCACAGATATATGACCAAAAGGGAAAGCGCCTGAATTTGGACATTTTGCTTCATGTTTTTTTTCCTCCTACACTGAGACAGGACTCTACTTACAACACATCAATTTTATCCTTCATTTTCCCACTCTAATCTATTATTGACTACAATGTACCAAACTTGCACTTGCAGTCTAACCCACTATTACAGCATCTTGTATCAGTACTTTAAACATTGCTTAACAAGAAAAATATGTCAATATACAATGAAAGCTTTCATTTATGCTTTCAAATTGAACAAACTGCTGCGAGCTATGCTGTAAATTACCCCAAGAATGTATAACTAGGCAAAATTGAGAACAAATTTTAGTGACATCAGACGTGACTGGATTCATAATTAGTAACGCTTAACAATATATTAAGTTTATCTCCTTTCTATCCCAGTGACCCTTTCAGCTCTGAGCAAAGCTTGCATATGTTGCCATAAATCATGTCTCTGATTTGTCAACAAGCCCTGAGTACCTCTGTTAGTTAAGAAAATTATAGAGCGAACTCCTTGTTCAAAAATGTGTTGATAATGCACTACAGGGTGGGCAGGAATAGTTTGTCTCAACTATGGTCCACCCAATTAGTCCAGAAACTGCAAAAGGACTTTTAAGTATTATATGTGCAAAGATCCTTTGCTGTAATATCTGATGCTACTGCCTAGTGGGGCCATGCCAAACAGATCAAAACCAGGTACTAATGCCAAGTTAGCACTCTGCCTAAAGCAACTGTCAGCTAATGATAGATTAGACAAATCTGATTGCTCTATCAAAACATTCATCTCAAATCTTGATTAGTAAACCTATTGAATTATGATTAATTCACAAGAGTGCTACTGACAGATAAGGTACTTTATCTGACAATGTGTAGTAGTTGCTTTGCCTGAAGCAAAAAAGCTCTGAAGTTGGTAAAATAAACAGTATCAACTACAACACACTGAGAAGGATAATGAAGCTACATGCACCTTTTAATTTAATAAAGGGCTAATCTGTGAGAACCTGGCCTCAGACACAAAAACAACAGGAAATGGAGAAGAAGGGCAAGGAAAGCATCAAAGTGTGTGCTGGAAGGGAGAGAAAACACTGTATCAACACTAAGAAGAAAAACTGAAGTGCTGTTGAGAGCATAGATCTTACTGCATAGGAATCTGCTTGTGGATGCTTGTGTGGACTTGAATGGAATTCACTATTGGTGTCATTGTCCACATGGACAAGACTGGGAACAAAGTAAGGTTTTCAAAATCAGAGATGGGCCTGAAACAAAACTCCAAAAATTGAACATCTGCATATTTTGAAGAAGTTCAGACCCAAACTGAATTTGGCACCTGGCATTTATCTTAATGGCAGTACCATGCACTTTGGGGAAATTCAGCTTCTCAGATGAAAACATGTGTCTAGACATTATCTTTGTTTAAAATGAAGCATCTTGACTTTATTGTTTCTTTTAGTTTTATTAGTCAGAATCATAACAACACAGATTAGACATTTTCTTGCTAGTAGATGATTTTATCTAATTTGGACAGCCTCATGACAATGGGGAAAAACTTTCTAGAGAATTTTCATTCATATGCTTCTACACAAAGAGAGATCCTAGTGTCTCTGGGTATTATAAAATTATAAAGTATATGCAATGTATAATTATAAATGATACATTACAGTATTTTAAAATAGAAATATTACTTTTTATTAGTTTAGTTTTTTGTGGTATCTTCATTTAGTAGCAAAGGGAATAGATCCTTACAATTAGAAAAAAATCTTGGATTAAAAAAATACATAGACATGAGATTATCATAAATATTTTAATGAATTTTGGCCAAGCCAAAAGTAAGAGGTACTTCATTTTAAGGGTAAGGCTAAAGTGAATTCTTTCTATTTCTATTCTATTTCTACTTCTATTACTTAACTTCCCTAGCTGATTTCTGAATACTTGTAAAGCTACAGGTTATTAGAGAGCACAAAATTATTTCCACACACACCACATCAATAAGAAATAGGTACTGTAAAATTGAACTGTAATTTAGTGTAGACTCCCACCATCTCAAAATCATTTGTAAAGCTATAAGAAGGCATTTATTAGTTTATCATGACCTAACAATTTAACAAAAGGCTAATGCAGTGTAATCATGTTTTTTGACTAATATTAACTTTTCTTTCTTTCTTTCTTTCTTTCTTTCTTTCTTTCGTCTCTGTTAATCAATTGTGAACTGTAGATGAGGGTCAAGGAAACCTACTTTCTTCTTTGATAACCTCCAATGCTTCCACTCCTGGGGATAAAAATGCTTTAAATGGAGTTATATTCCAGGAAAATCAATATATGATTACTGCAAAGATTTGTATCGATTGTCCTGTTGCATTGCAAAGATGCTAAAGAAAAATTGCACCGTACATTTCCCTTCATTTTCTACTTCAAAGAACTTGAAGCAAATTTGGGCAAGCAAAAAGTGTTGGGAACTTTATTTTCTTCCTTCAATCCAGCCACTTAAATGTTTACTCTCAAATGGTTTTATTTCTAAAGGTAACTATTTTTTAATGCCTGACATCAGACTGAGGTCTTCAGAAACAACTACACTGCTGTAACTATGGCGTTTCTAATAAATAACAGCATTACCATTGTACGTGTCCAAAAGTAAAAATTGCACTCTGTTTCCATCTCTTTAACTGTATGTGTTCACACTCCTTCCTAATGCTGTTTATTTAAGTTCTAATTCTGCCGACAGCATTTAATGGCAAATGTTCCACTGGTTTCAGAAACAGGGCCTCTGTACCTGCTCCTGTTCCCATGGAAATCAATGGAAAGTTTCCCATTGACTTAAACAGCAATTGGATTAGATCCTTTTTTTCCTGTTGGGCCAAGTGTGGCCTTGGACCACCCCTCCTGGAGGCTGAAGGGAGAGCCAGGCCTGCCGCAGCCTTGGCCTTCTTCCCCCACCCCTGGCAGCTGGGGGAGGGAGGGGACAAGAGCTTGAGCCTGAGTGGCCTTGGAGGGCGGGACTAGCCAGCGGCTGGGGGGCAGGACTAGCCAGGGAGGCCTCACCCCAGGCCTTCCCCAGCTGAGAGGGGGAAGTTGGTGAGTATAGCAGGCAGGTGGCGTGGCCCCGAATATTAGGTTATGATTTTTTAGTAAAACTCTGACAGATCATTGGCAATAAAGAAAAATTCATGGTCCATGATTTGTCCATGATTTATACCATAAAATTTAGTGGGGGGCATTGCTGGGAGAGGGATGACTCACTACTAGTAGAGGTGTCCCATGGGTTCCACTGCTGGATGGGGTTGGCCCTGGGTGAACCAGCACCATCAGCATCAGCTGCCAGGGTCTGCTGGGAAGTGGCTGTTCATCTGCCCCTGAGGCTGCTGCTCCAGCTGCCCTGGACTGTTGCTGAGGGTCACCTCTTTGCCACTGAACCAGTGCTGGGGCCACATCACCCCCTGTAACTGGCCCTGCAACAGGCTGTGGAGCCACCCAAGTGGCTAGCTGCGGGTTGCTCCAACTGTGGCCGGAGTGGCTGTCCCCGAGGCCATCTGTGAAGCTGGCTTTGGGGCAGCTGCTTGGGCAACCCCGAGATTAGTCACACTAGCCACTGCAGAAGTCATGGAGGTCAAGGAAAGTCATAGAATCCATGACTTCCACAAACTCCCAGGACAGACACAGTGCCCTAACAATAATACATAGCCTATGCATTTAATATAAAGGACTCTGAAGATATTTAAACTTAATTTAAGAAGATTATCCAAGCATATTCCAAGTCATATCTGTCACACCGTTAATTCATTGTATTGTGTTTCACTGAATGAAGTCCACTGCTAAAAAACATGGAGTATCTGACATAGTGTCGCTGAAACAAAATACAGGACTATGTAGCACTTTAAAGACTAACAAGATGGTTTATTAGGTGATCTTGTTAGTCTTTAAAGTGCTACAAAGTCCTGTATTTTGTTTCTGCTACACCAGACTAACACGGCTACATTTCTATCACTATTTGACATAGTGTCATTATTTATAAAGAACCTCGGGTTCTTACTATCACCACCAGTGGGAAGTGTCACAAAAAATAGGATATACAGGTTGAACCTCTTTAGTCCAGCATCTTCAGGACCTGACTGGTGCTGAATCAGAGAATTTGCCAGACCATAGGAGGTCAATATTGTCTAGCAGCATTACCAACACTTCCACTGCTTAGTGGGCTCTCAGAAGACTTTTTGGGGGTAAATTAGAGCTAAATAACAGCACAGAACATTGAGAGCCAGTACGGGTGGCTGTAAACAAACTTTATGGGACGATGGAAAGCTTGGTCACACCCATGATAACTGGACATCTAGCCAACTAAAATCATTCCAGATCATGGATGTTGTCATACCGGAGCGTGCTGGACTAGAGAGGTTCAACCTCTACAAGCCAGTATCAACTAAAACTTGGATTGGGCTTTTAAGAACAAATCTGGGAGTTGTCTTGTGGTATTTTAACAGGTTTTATGTCCCCCCGCCTTTGGGGTTCTATATTTTAATTATCTCTCTCTCTCTCTATATATATATATATATATATTGTCTTTTAACACATTTTGTAAGCCACCTCGAAAATTTTAAATAGAGAGGTGGGGTAAAAATATGTCATATAAATAAATAAATAAATAAATAAATAAATAAAGCGTGGAACCCTTTATACTACCTGGCCACTTCTTTTAACTTATCTAGTGGGAGATGATAAAGAGTGGAAATTAGTTTTTTGTTGCTGAGTTGGAATTTATATTTTTATTGGGTGCAAGGGGGGCTGGAGGAAGGGGGGCAGAAAGCAGAGGTGGCG